CGCCGGGCCCCGCCCCGGCCCTGCGCCGCCGCCGCCGCCGCTGCTGCTGCCTCCTGCAGCCACCGCCGCCGCCATGAAGCTGACCGACAGCGTGCTGCGGAGCTTCCGCGTCGCCAAGGTGTTCCGCGAGAACTCGGACAAGATTAACTGTTTTGACTTCAGCCCCAACGGCGAGACGGTCATCTCGAGCAGTGACGATGACTCCATCGTGCTCTATGACTGCCAGGAGGGCAAGTGAGTGCGACGCTCCCCGGGCTCGGCTCCGAACGCCTCCCTCTCCCACTGATGGCCCGCGGCCCGCCCTGCGTCCCGACTCCTGTCCCAGGCCTCCGGCCCTCGCTCCGGACAGAGCTGCCTCCACCCTGCAGCTGTCCAGACTTTGTGCTTTCTTTTGAAGGGATGGTAGCCCTAACGATTAGCCCATAGTTGTTTAGTGTGTGTCTTCCGCCTCCATGCGCCTTTGCACTGTTTTCCCAAACTCCACCTTGACTTTGACCTTTAGGCGCGCAGGCTGCGCCCCCAGCCCCAGCAGAGCGCACTCCAGACCCCAGACTGTCAGGGGCGGCCGTCAGCGGGGCCGCCCGCCCGCGTCAGGTCTCTGCCTTGCTCGCGGCTCCCTCGATTCCGCCCTGGCGCATCGCCCGTGCTCTGCTCCCCAGCTTCCCGCGGCCTTTCTGCCTGAGCCGTGTGGGTCGCCGACCTTAGCAGTCAGGATTTACCTGTTGTGCCGCTCCGAGCCCCCTGGCCCTCCCTTCCTGTTCCAACTCGTCTTTAGTCTTTTTAAACCCGATGCTCACGTTTATAGTGAACTTCTGAACTACATCATGAAACTTTTGCTTTTTGCCAGACACAAGAAAACGTGGCCTCCTATCCTGACCTCGATGTGGGCTCCCGTTAAAACAATGAAAGCATCCTAGAACAATTTTATCTTTCCTTCTGTACTGCTTTTTTTTTTTTTTTTTTTTTTTTTTTTTTTAACAGTTTATGGTTCACCTGGAATTAACCAAAATTCCATACTTAGGAGAATTTTATGTTGTGCCAGATCATTTGGAGAACCACCATACCAGCATCTTTCTGTAGCACCTGTTAAGCAGAGAAAGGTGGGAACCTGGGGTCCTTGTCGTGTTGACCTTAGGCCCCTGAACTTGTCTCAAGTGCCTGCCTCTTGCATGGTGACGTTTTTTTGGAGCAGAAACTGGTGTAAATTTACTTGCCCTCAACCACCTTTGTCAAGCAGACCTGGGGAATGTTTGGTTTTGTCAGATTTCATTTCGTTGCCTAGTTCTAGCCTTGGAACTTTTTTCTCTGCTCTTTCCAGGTGTTCCATGTTGCCTGTTTTTGGGGGGTTTTTTGTTTGTTTTGAGACAGGGTCACCCTTTGTAATTCAGGTTGCCCTTGAACTGTGTAATTCAGGCTGGCATTCGACTTACTGTGAACCTCCTGCCTCAGCCTCTTTGAGTGCTGGGATTATAGGTGTGAGGTACTGTGCTCATTTTCTCTGTTTTTAAACATCTGCTTTTCTTCTGGAACTTAGCTCTTCGTTTGTGAATTTGTTTATCTAAAGTATGCTGTTTGGACTGAACTATAATCTCCCTTATTTTTTTCTCCACTGGGACTATGAGAAAGTATTATATAACTGGCTCTGTGGCTGCCTGTAGAGTGGATGTTTCCTGTCCTGGTGCTCATGGAAGAGGGAGTTATCTAGACACATACTTCTGCTTAATGCTGTTCGTTTCTAGGATGGATTTCTGTCCAGGTCTGGTCTCTTGAATTGATTTGGAAGCGAGTGTAACATTTAAAGCGGGAGTAGGGAATCATAATTGTGGACTCCTGGAGCAGGAAGTAATTTGAAGCTGATTAGCTTGATTAGTAATTGTGCACAGGTTAGAACCATCCACCACAATTTGAGGATGAAATACACATCCTTGTTGAAGGAAAATGTAGATAGGTTGTGATAGTATTTCATCGGAGTTTATCCCCAAATATAGCATAATTTCTACCTTCGGGAAGGATGAGAGGGACAAGAAATCTTGTTTTGTAAAAGTAAAATACCATTTCAGTGAAATAATGCAGTTTATTTAGTCATGTGGCATTTATAGATTATTACAGACTCATGTATCAGAATGTTGCAAAGCACTCTCAGGGGGAGAAAATGAAAGAAAAGTGGAAGATCGGTTAAATTTTGTTCCATCTGTTTTATCAGTCTGTAAATTTGTGTGTGTGTGTTTTCCTGTGCCATTAGACACCTAAGTTGGGAGTATCAAGCCCCCATACCTTATTTATTTATTTATTTATTTATTTATTGCAGTACCAAGGATTGAACTCAGGACCTTGCACTTCCCAGGCAAGTGCTTATTCTACTGAGCTGTCTCCCTGGCCCCTAATTTTTTTTAAGACAAGGTCTCTCTATGTAATCCAAGCTGGCCTTGAATTTGAAGTGATCTTTCTGCCTCAGCCTCCCAAATGCTAGGATTATTGCCTTTGCCGTAGGCTACATGCCTGTCTCCCCAAATATTGCAACATAGATTTCATAAGCACAAAGATATTCTTTTACATAACTAGAGGATAATTACCCAAATTAGGACATTTAATATTGCTGTAATACTTAGGGTATGCACTTTTGAATTTTCTCTGATTATGATTACCTTGTTTCTTTGTGATCTGTGGCATGGGAATGGCCTGGTAGTTGGGCCACCTGAGTTGTGGTTTGGTGTTGTGACTGACCGGGAGCATGGCATTAATCAAAATTACTTCTCCTTAGCACCTATAATTTTAACTAGTAATGTTGAGAAATACATTGTAGGCTTAATCAAGCAAAGTAGAATTTCCTAGAAAGGCATAATTATTTTATTAGATGTTACTGTTAGAATTTGGAAGCTTGAAAGTGACTAAAACAAGACTTTCTGTACATTGTATTTTCAAGTTTATTGTCCATTTAACTCTGCAATGGAGTTCATCCATTGAGTAATGCTTCAACTTCAAAGAATATAAATGATACATTGATTGTGATAGGTAATGCACATTACACAGAAAGAAAGCTTTTACTGTTATTTTCTTTGTTCATACCTGGTCACCAGAACCATAGTTTGAGGGAAGACACTAAAATATTTGAAAAAATATTGTGTATGGAACTTAGTAAAGAGCACTTGAAGTAGGTGTGAGACATGAAGACCTTGCTTTCAAACTAGGAAATAAAATGATATAGGAAGTTTCTTTGATTAGAGACAAATCTCTGTGTTTTAATACATTTGAGACATATAGGTGACACCTAAGTGAAACCTCCATTTTTTTTCACTATTTTGTTTAGTTTTGTTTGTTTTGTGTTAGACAGGATCTCTCTGTCTATTGCAGGCTGGCCTCAAACTTAGTGAGCCTCCTGCCTCAGTCTCCTGAGTACTGGAATTATACACCACACTGTTTGAAATTGACTTTCCGGGGTCAAAAATGTAGCCTAACACATGTCGGGGAAGCCCTCTACCACTGAGGTACATCTTCAGCCCAGTCTTTTCTGTTGTAGGTGGGCTGAAATACTAGGATTAACTTCTACCACAGGTAGGTGTAAGGTTGACTAACTTTAGAGAGCAACCACACACATACTCTGTCGGGTTCATTAAAATTTTAGTAACTGTATAGGGGAAACCTATAAAGTGGACTGAAACAGGTAAGCTTTGTTGTTTTTTTTTTTTTTTTTTTTGAGCAGAGTATTGTATCAGGGTAAGCATGTGGAAAATTCACTTCGAATGTAGTGAGAACTCATGACTGGAAATAGATGTTTTTAAAGGGAAGCCTTCAGGGGGCCTGCCCCTTAGCTCAGTTCTTTAAGTGACTGCTTCAACAAAGCAGTCAGGCTCAGGTTGCTGTGGTTCGATCCCCACAACTCAAGCCAGCCAAACCTGCCCTGAAGGCATTCGGAGCAAAAAAATAAAAATAAAGGGAAGCCTTCAGCCCACAAAAACAAGAAAGTGAAAGGTGACTGACATCCTAATACTGCCTGAGTCATTTCATTGTTGAGCATCTAGGTTCCAAAAGGATTTTACACTGAGAAGGTGAAGTTTTTCATAAATTGGAACTCTTGGTAAACATTCGCATAGCATTTGTTTTTTTTTTGAGACAGGGAGTAGTATATAGTCCAGAAAGGCCTTGAACTTGCTGTGTATCCCAGGCTGGCTGGGGTTACAGGCATGAATCACACCCAGCTTGGTGCAGGTTTCGAAGTCCTTCTAATGTCTGTATGCATAATATTATAGTAAAAGTTTTGTTGCCCGACTTGGCACATATAGAGAATTGTTCTAGCATTCTAATCTATCTGTTATAGAGATATTTGGGTATTTAAAAAAAAAGACTTGGTGTAACTTAAGCAGTATGTGACAAAATGCTTATTTGGTCATAAATTTCAATGAGATCCAGGTTAGCTTGGTTTTCAAGGCTGTATAGAAGGTTACCTGTAGTTTGAAAATGAGTGCTTTTTATAGTAAAGTAAAAAGAAAAGAACCTTTTGAGTAGTTTTGCTGAGGAAAGGCAGCAAAACTTCTAAGACTTGGCAAGTGTTTTGGCTTTGTACATCGGGAGGTGGATGTCTTCTACAAGAACAGGTTATATTAGGAAGGCAACTAGTTTTGTGCTGTGGTTTCAGTTCCATAAATCATTGTCTTTTTTTTTTTTTTTTATTTATTTAGTACAGGGTCTCACTACACAGATCAGACTCATAGTGATCCTCCTGTTTTCAGCCTGCCAACCACTGGGATTACAGGCATGCACCACCAAGCCCAGTCTCAATCATTGTCTAGTGAGTGGTTTAAAATTTCTTGGGTTTAAGTGTTCTCATATCTTAGTTTGTGACTTGCATTGTTTCATGTGCCTTTCTCCCCTAGTAGATACCATACCCTTTTCTTTTTCTAAAAGGTTACTTTTGAGTGTTGTAATAAAGCCTGAGTTGAGCTCCAAGGTTTACTTTTACTTGGTCTTTGGTACTCAGAGGTATTCTTTTTTTTTTTTTTTTTCCTGCAGTTCAGGCTGGCCTTGAACTCACTTTGTAGCCCAGGCTGGTCTCAGATCTCCTGCCTCAGCCTCCCTAGAGCCAAGATTACAGGCACAGGTGTGTGCCACAACTGGCTTCTTTATTCTTTAGTTGGTTATTGTGTTGGATTGTTTTTTGAGGTTTGTGGGTGTGTGTGTGTGTTGTTGGCTGGCTGGCTGGCTGGCATACTGGAAATTGAATCCAAGTAGGGCCATCGCACTGACATGCAACCCCAGCAGTTTTTTTATATTTTATCACTGTGTTTGTTGGTTTAGGAGACAGGGTCTCACTATGTAGTTCAGACTGCGTTGAACTCACTGTGTAGCCCAGCCTATTCTGGAACCTGGAGCCGTCCTCCTACCTTAGCCCTAGGTGTACATCACCACATCTGCTTAATTCCTGCTTTTGGAAGAAATTCTGTTTCCTTCTAGCACTAGAACTTACCGAGACTCCTCACCCAGGCCACATAATTCATATGATACTCTATATATATGTATAGATCTTAGATTTTGGTGATGGAGGATTTTGATGATATTTTCTCTGTTTGCTCATCAGACCTAAGAGAACCCTGTACAGTAAGAAATATGGTGTGGACCTCATCAGATACACTCATGCAGCAAACACAGTTGTTTACAGCTCTAACAAAATAGATGGTGAGTAAACCTTTTGTTGAGGTAGGTCACAGTTTTCTTTGTTAAATAGTTCATAGAATCTTTGTGACTGCTATGCTTGGTTATAGTTATTTTAAATATTTTCCTGTGATATTAGCAATGCTAATTATATTGTTATGACTAAAGGAATGTTGGAAGCAAGCCAGTAGCACTTCTAAAGGATTTAGAACTCAGTAGGAAAAGTTTCTAGTTTACAGTGGGGATTGGCAAAGGAAACAGCTAGTTATACTTGTGATTTGTACTTCTCCATACTTGAAAATATACTTTCAGGACAAATAAAAGAATACTATGCACAGCAAGAGGTAAACTACTGGACCTTCCCATTTAAAGTATGTGGACATGAGGAAAATTTTCACAGATATTTGAATTTGGATAGTTTAAGGGAATTCAGAAGAGTTTCTGATGTATGTCCAAACTTAGTCTGTGTCATAAAAGACCAGTGCAGTGACCTTATTCATCTTTCATTCCAAAGATACTTTCTTTCTTTTCTTTTTTATTTTAAGACAGGGTCTCAGTTGTCTGTGCTGTACATGCAGTCTTCTTTCCTGTCTGAGCCTCCTGAGTAGCTAGGATTGCAGGTGTGCACCACCATGCCCCTAGAGTTACTTTTTATCTAAATTTATTCCTTTTTACATTTTACGTGTCATGTGTATGCTAGGCAAGTGCTTTACCACTCAACTAATCCCTGGTCCTTTCCCTTTTACTTTTAAATAAAGTTATTATTTGAAGAGTAAAGAATTTTAGAAAGTAAAACTCGTGAATTTCTTTTTATATTAAATGATCCTATTGTTATCTTCGCTTCCTCTGGGAGAAGTCCTTCTAAGCTGACAGATTATCTTGGTGATTGAGCTTTAATGTTTCACACATTAGTATTTTTCTTATTTTTAACTACATCACTGATTTATTTTTTTTATTTTTTCATTTTTTCATCTCTCAGTATGTTTTAGGCTAGTCTTGAACTTTACAATACTATGTAGCCTGGGGCTACCTTGATTCATAGCAGTCCTCCTGCCTCAGCCTCCCAAGTGCTGGGATTATGGGTGTACAACACCACACCTGGCTATTTTGCTTTTTAAGAGTTAAGATTTCCCTAATGTCATTCAACAAGGATTAATTAAGCTGCTATTTTGGCTGTGTTGCAGCAAATGGCAAAAAGTCTCTTTTATTTAATGAGATTTTTCTACCTACACTTTTTTCTGTACCTGTACTTGATTTTTTTCAATATACAATTTCTACTTTTTGCGTCTTATTTTAGAAGAAGTTTTCTGTGTAATCAATGCAGTTGATGCTTTTGAACACAAACATAAAACTTTAGGATCCTGAGGAAATATGTATATGTAATCACCTAAATGACTGGCATATTTTGTCTGTTGGGTTGCTTTTCTGAATAATTGATGAGGATTCTCCAAATGTGGTGCAAGATGAGGCAAATGTGTGGCACTTGCAGCTTTGCTGCCAGGGCCCTGCTGTGGGGATGTTGCCTTTCCTGTCACAAGTACATCCTGAAGAGTTTCTCCAGCGCTACGTTTCCTTTTGCCTGATTCCAGGCTGAGGTAGTAGTTTGTACAGTTTGAGGGTCTATGATACCACCCGGTATAGGAGATAACTGTACAGGCCACTGCCTTGCCAGGAACAGTGCACCAGCCACCAAGTGGGGCAGAGAGGATGGTGAAGTCCTGCTCATCTCTGGGAATTCAGGTAATGGGAGGGAGTTTTTCTTCTTAGGGCAGGTGAGTACTTCTAGCACTAGAACAAGTAGGAATGGTTGTCACTGGAGAAGTTTGAAGATGTTTGCAAGGAAATGATGTGGAAATTCAGGTATGAAACGTAAAAAGGCTGGGCGTGGTAATGCATGCCTATAATCCAGCACTCAGGAGGCTGAGGCAGAAAGATCTTGAGAGTGCAAGGCCAGCCAGGGCTACATGAATGAGTTCAAGGCCAGCCTGAACCATGTATAGCAAGACATATCTCAAAAAGAAAGAAAAAACATAAAACTACCCTTTTCCCCCCTTTTAGGTTAAATACATGTTTATTAGAAAGCATCCTGTGAATCACTGTGTGAACCACCTGATACTTTTAGGTTATTTTTATTTTCTGTTTGCCCTTATGTTATTTGTATGCATTCTTTTTCCTCTCACACATTGATAGCATTTCCTACTACCTTTTTCCCAACAACAACTTTTTCTTTTGCTTTATCTTTTTAGGAGCATAATACTTTATAGCTTTGTATTTTTATTTTTTGGCAGTACTAAGGTTTGAACTCAGGGCCTTCACTGAGCTATATCCCTGACCTTTTTTATTTCTTATTTTAAAACAAGGTCTTAAACATCAGCTTCTTAGAGTGCCAGGATTGCAGGTGTGCACCACCGTACCCAGGCTTTTCTTTCTTTTTGTGCTGGAGATCAAATCCAGGGCATTGCACATACTAGCTAAGCATTCTGCCAATAAAGTATAACCTTTTTTTTTTTTTTTTTTTTTTTTTTTTTTGAGATAGTCTCATTGAGTTGCGCAAACTGAGCTTGAATGTTGAATCCTTCTGTCTCTACTTCCCAAAGTGCAGGGATTACAGACATGTACCATCACACCTGGTTCAGTTTTTTTTTTTTTTCTTTTTTAATTTTTCATTAGCATATGCTTGAGATATATCAGTTCTCTTGTTTATGGCACTTCATTCCCCTATCACTACTACTGTTTTGTTTCCTTTTTCCGATAAAATTATTCAGTTTTTAAGAGGGCATCTTGGGCCAGGGATATAGCTCAGTGGCATAGTGCCTCCTGCCTGGCAGGCACAAGGTATGTAGTTTGATTCCTGGTACACACACACGCCCAGAAAAGTGTGCATCTTATTTTTCTGAAGCTCAAATCTTTATGATTTATTCCTTTCTTTGACATCATCAAAATCTTATTGGTATGACGTGGTATCCTTCATGCATTTCAGTTCAACATGTCTTGAGACATTACTTCTCTTTTCTGTTTTGCTTAGTTTCAGTCTAAATTTTGTCTAAGGTTGAACACTGGGATGGGTCAGTACTGTTGGAGAACCCTGGACAAAAATGTACCTCCAAGGTCCAGCCTGATCTTCACCTTAGTGTGGCTGCTCGTTTTGGTCCTGTTTCCTCAGCAAACAGATGTTTTAAGTTTGCCACTCTCTTGCTACTGAGACCAGTGTCATTCTTTTTCTGCCAAGCTATGTTTGCAGGACAATTTGCATTATTATGAAGAACCCAAAGATTGGGAGTAAAACTTTTTTTTTTATTTTTTATTTTTTTTCAGAAACGGGGATTGAACTCAGGCACTTGTGCTTGCCAGGCAAGCGCTTATTCTACTAAGCTATCTCCCCAGCCCCAAAACAGTTATTTTTTAAAATTTCCTTAATTTTTATATGTGGTACTGAAGATTGGACCCAGGTCCTCATACAAGCCAGGCAAGCTGCACTTTTGATTTTATCTTTAAAACATGGATTTAGGGGCTAGGGAGATAACTCAGTAGAGTAAGTGCCTACCTGGAAAGTGCAAGGTCTGGAAGTTCAATCCCTGGTCCAGCAAAACAAAAAAAATAGGTACTGAGGATTAAACCCAAGATCTCTGCACTTAGTCTACATCGCTAGTCCCCTTAAGTTTAGAGCTGGGGAGATGACTCAGTAGAATGAGTTCAATCCCCAGTTCCGCAAAAGAAAAAAAAAATCGTATTCTCCCATACTTTCTTCTAACGTGCAATAGATAAAAATGGATTTCTGTTTGGGGCTAGGGAGATGGCTCAGTAGAATAGGCGCTTCCCTGGCAAGTGCAAGGACCTGAGTTCAGTCCCTGGTTCCACCAAAAAAAAAAAAAAAAACCCATGGATTTAAACTTTACTCTTGTTTTGCTTTGTTTTGTTTATTATAATTTTCTTTTATTTTGAAGAGTAAAAACCAAGAAAAACAAAAATAGAATCAGGTTAAGATACAACAGTACATATATTACAGATTTTTGAAACAAGAATAGCTGATTAACAATGAATGATATATTATCTGTTTTTATCAATTTTGCTCTTTGGAGTTATATGAAATCTATGTGCATACTCATTAAGCTAGCAAGAGGAATTATTCACTGTCTCGAATTTATACTTTACTTGAGCGATAGGATACTGTTCTTTAATTTTGTCTTCCAGATGAAAATGCAAAATAAATTCATTTTTTAAATAGTACAATATTTATCTTCCAACAGATACTATTCGCTACCTGTCCTTGCATGACAACAAATATATCAGGTACTTTCCTGGACATAGCAAAAGGTAAGAACAAATATCACAGGTAATACATGAGTGGAGAGATTTTATTAGTAGAGATAACTAAAATCTCATTTTAAATATAAATGAGAGGCTAAAGGTTATAGCTCATTGACAGAGCCTATACTTTGCATGCAGAAGGCCCTATGTTCCATCTCTACAACCAAAATATATATATGGCATTTAGGAATGCCAAATCTTAGGTATCCCTTAATAAAGGAATCATTTGTTCTTGAAGCCTCCATTATAAATGGACCCTATTTCAACAGTCCTTTACATCAAAATTTGCCATTTAGGGGTGTGTAGTGTTGCTAGAGATTTAACCCAGATCTCACTCATGTTAAGCACAAGCTATACAACTATGCTGCACCCTCAGTCCTCTATTTGAAGATACTAATGAAGATGTAAAAGAAAAATATTTTTTGTTGCTTTTAAAATCAGCAAGTTTATCTCTTTATTCCATATTATAATGTAGGTTGCTTCTCTCTGTGCAACCCCTTCCATTGATTTTTTTTTCCTCCAACCTTTCAAGTTTTAGTTGCATGTTAAAGGGTTTTTCTTGTTTGCTTCTATAAATAAATATACAACAGTCCAGGACTGAATGCTGTGGGATGGAGCCCTGATAAGAGATGCCTGGGGGCCGGGGAGATGGCTCAGTAGGATAAGTGCTTGCCTGGCAAGCTTAAGGGCCTGAGTTCAATCCCCAGTTCTGCAAAAAAAAAAAAAAAAAAGAAGAAGAAGAAGATGCCTGGGGCTCTCTGTGGCGCTTCTGAGTTGGTTACTGTGCGGTACCAGGCAGAATGGCTCATGACAAGTAGATGGTTTTGCTTATTGTATTCAAACTAATGTTCACAAAGTTTCTTATAATTAAGAGTTGATACAGTTGTATGAAATTCTTGTTTTGTGACAGAGTCTCACTGTATAATTCAAACTGACCTTGAATTCATTTTGTAGTTCAGGCAATCCTGCCTCAGCCTCCTGAGAACTGTGATTAAGGTGTGCCACCAGACCTAGCATTGTTCGTTCATTCGTTCATTCTTTCTTTCTTTCTTCCTTTGAGGCAAAGATTTTACCATGTATTTCAGGCTAGCTTTAAACTCACTTTGTATCCCAAGTTGGCCTCTGCCTTAGAAGTTCTGGGATTACAGGCTTGCCACCAGGCCTGGCATTGTTTGAAATTTTTCTTTTTCTTTTGAGTGTACTGGGTTTTTTTGGGTTGTTTCATTTTTTTGAGACAGGGTCTCACTATGTACTCACCTATATAGCTCATGTGGCCTCAAACTTGAGATCCTCCTGCCTTTGGCCTCCCGAGTGTTGGCATTACAGGCCTGTGGTTCTCTTAAGTTGGTTCCCAGGCCAGCAGTCTCCTTCACTTGGAAACTTGTAACTCCGATATCAGAACCTGCTGTCCATACTGGATTGGAAACTTTGGGAGTAGACTCTGACAATCTAAATTTGTTTGATTTTTGTTTTTGTGTTTTAAGATAGGGTCTCACTGTAAAGTTCAGTGTGGTCTTGAATTTCATTTTGTAGCTGAGGGTGTCCTGAAACTCATAAGTGTTCCTCCTGCCTCAGCCTCTCGAGTGCTGGGATTACAGGCATGTGCAACTACAGCCAGCTGACAATCTAAATTTTAACTTGCCCTCCAAGTAATACTGATGCCACTCCAGATGGGAAACATTAGTGTAGTCCACTGCCATCTGTTAAGGAATCTTGGCTGGGCTGGGTTTGGGGTTGGGTTGGATTGAGTTGAGTTTTATTTGAGATATGGTCTTGCTCTGTAGCCCAGGAAATCCTGCCTTACCCTTCAAAGCGCTGAGATTGCAGGCATGTGCCACCATACCTAGCTTTTTAAAATACACAAATGAGTGGCCTTTATTGTATATTCAGAATTGGGCAAAAATTATCACTTATGTACTGTCTACTCTCAACATTTTCTATAAATGGATTCAGATAACATATGGCTTTTTGTGTCTGGCTTCTTTCACTTAAAACATGATGTTTGAAAGGTTTATCTATATTGTCACATGATTTGATGTTTCATTCTCTTTATTGTCAAATAATACTCTATTACTTTTTTTGTGAAAACCACCTATATAATTATTTATTAGGTAATAAATATTTGGGTTGTTTCCACTCTGGCTATTGTGAATAATGATCTTGTGATACATGTATACATTTTTTGCACGGACATATATTTTAACTGTAAGATTAAACTTTCTGGGTCATTGAGGGCTGGCCAGATAGCTCAGAGGACTAAAGCACCTGCTTAGGCAGAGTGCAGTGGCCAGGGATCCCTGGGGTGCAGTGAGACAGAGATTGAGACTGGGCGGTGGCATGTGCCTGTAATCCCAGCACTTGGGAGGCTGAAAATAGAATCACTACAAATCCAGTCTATGTAGTGAGACCCTGTAGACCTTGTCTTAAATACATAAATACATTGAAAGAAAGAAAGAAAGACATTAATTAATTAATTTCTGGGTCAAATATAATAGCTTCTTTTAGAAAAAATTGGTTTCCAGAGTATTTGTGTCACTTTATGTTTCCACCAAGTCTAGCTTCTCCACTATCCTAATGTTTATCAACACTTGCTATTAACTCTTTTATTATATTACACTATTGGACATGAAATAGTATTCTAGTGTACAGTAGGTTTGCATTAGAACCATACATTTATATCCTAGGATTGTAAGGGTTTTGTTTTTATTACTATACTAGTTGTCTTAGATTATGCCATAATGCTTGTATGTGTTTCCTTGAATGACAATTTTGGAAGAATAGCTATATACACGTATTCAGAATGACTTACAGTTCAGATCAAGTTTTTGCTCGTAATTGTTTCAATGCATTGCAGGGTGGTGGCCTTATCCATGTCACCTGTGGATGACACTTTCATTTCTGGATCTCTTGATAAAACCATTCGTCTTTGGGATCTCCGGTCTCCTAACTGCCAGGTAGGTAGTAGTTAAGGTTTTTGAGCATTTTCTATGGTAGGTATACCATCAGCTGTCCTTTTCAAGGAAGAGAGAACACAGTGGTTCCATTCTGGAATCTAGAATCATCTTAAACTTTTTTTTTGTTTGTTTTGTTTTGTTTTTTCTTCTTAAACTTAAAAGAAAATCTTCCTGGTAGGTTTCAGTTTGGAAAGCAAATAGCTTAACCAAGTGCAGAGTGTTTTAGATTCTGTGGCTTAGTGTTAAACACAAAAAACAACAAAACACTGTTCCCAGAGCCTTCGGCATATAACTGTTAGCCTCAGGAGAGAGAGATATTTTTATTTGAACTCTGATCAGAAATATGTTATATGATGACCTCTTTTTTTAAAGCTTCCTTTTAGTTAGATTTTTATTTCCTTATTCTGTAAGTAATCCATTCATACTGTTTTCCAAGAAGAACAAATTATACAGTGATAGATCCTATATCCATTAGCTTCTTTTTTTTTTTTTTTTTTTTTTTTTTTTTTTTTTTTGAGGGTTTCTGTCTAGTTCAAGCTGGCCTTGAACTAACCATGATTCTTCTGTCTCACACTGCCAAGTGCTGGGTTTACAGATATGAACCACTACACCTGGCACCCAGTATGTTTTTATCTTATTTCTTTTCTCTTAGGGTCTCATGCATTTACAAGGCAAGCCTGTCTGTTCTTTCGATCCAGAAGGGTTAATTTTTGCTGCTGGTGTCAACTCTGAAATGGTCAAGCTTTATGATCTCCGTTCTTTTGACAAGGTACATCTTTGAGTCTTTGATGTATCTCATGATAGGGTTTTAAGTATAAGATGGACTTTCTTGTTTGCCTGTTTGCTTGCTGGTTAGTTGGATGTGACAGTCTCACTGTGCAATACAGACTGGCATTGAACTTGCAGAATGGCCCAAATTGGTCTTGAACCCTTGATCTCCCTGCCTCAACTTCCCAGTTATTGGATGGAGTTACAGACATTACTACATCCAGCTAAGGTGGATTTTTTTCTTTCTTTTTTTTGGCGGAACTGAGGATTGAACTCAGACCCTTGCACTTGCCAGGGAAGCACTTATTCTACTGAGCCATCTCCCTGGCTCCTAAGGTGGATATTAAGAGCCTTTTCTCTGGTAGAGGAAGTATTTGGTAGATACCAGATGGCAGCAGCATCCTCTGCTTTCCCAGTAGAATATAATCTAAAGTGATAGAATGGGAATTGACTCTGACAGAATTTATTTATATGCCTTGAGCCCAGTGGTGGTGTGGGGGTTGCTATCTTTATCTTTTGCAGGGGCCATTTGCAACCTTTAAGATGCAGTATGATCGGACTTGTGAATGGACAGGACTTAAGTTCAGCAATGATGGCAAGCTCATACTTATTTCCACCAATGGCAGCTTCATCCGTCTCATTGATGCCTTCAAGGGAGTGGTGATGCACACATTTGGGGTGAGCTATCAGCCTTTCAACATGGCTGTTCCCGTCTTCATACTTCCAGGGCAGAGAGTTATGTTAGCTGGTTAGCAGAGACCAACAGTTGTCCTTGGCTCACTGATCAAAGTAAGGGTTTGCATTTTCTTTTTTATTTAGTGTGTGTGTGTGTGTGTGTGTGTGTGTGTGTGTGTGGCCAGCTCAGCCCACCAGAGGGCGGGGCTGGCTGGCATGTGGTGCTGGGGGATTGAACCGTGGTCCCTGTGGTTTGCTAAGCTTGTTCCAAGTAGGTGCTTTAGACCACTGAGCCATCTCACCAGCCCAAGGGTTTGCATTTTCTTCCTTCATGTGAACTACTTCTTTTGAATTGAGACACTGACTTCTTACTAAGTGGCCCAAGTTTGGTGTTTAGTATATAATAACTCCTAACCTTAAGCAGGGTTTTATGCCCCCTTCAATATGAAGTGGGAGTTAAGGATTGGGGTGTACAGGTTGGCAGCCACATTTTGAAACCTTGGTTGCAGTGTGTATGACAGTGGGTTTCATGGAAAGGAGTGAGATATGTGTGCTAGTTTGACCATTTCTAGGCAGTTGTTATTGGTAGCTCTGTAACAAGAGAACTACTTTGTTCTGTTTTAGGGCTATGCCAACAGCAAAGCTGTCACACTAGAAGCTTCATTTACTCCAGACTCTCAGTTTATTATGATTGGTGAGCGCCTTTCATTTCCCTTGGGGTTATTTCTTTGGCAATATGCATATATATATATATATATATATATATATTTTAAAGCAAACTAAACGTATTTGTTTAATAGGTTTTGGGGGGGCAGACATTGTTTTTATTTGTCATTGTCGTTGGTACTGGGGCTCAAACCCAGCAAGCAGCTTTCTTACCACGTGGTGGATCTGGCAAAGTGCACAATCAGTGGTAAAACAAAAGCAGCTGTGTTTTTTGGTAACAAATAGAGAAATGGTTCTGGGATGACAGAAAAGAAATACTGTGTGACACAGACCAGTCAGGTTTTGGGGCTCAGGAGCTAGAGAAGAAAACAAAGGGGAAACATGTGCTTTGGTCTGGAGTTCTGTGGAACGCTCCTAGGATGCTGCCCACAATTCACAGGGTGTGGGGAGTGAATAAGGTTAGATGGCCTGGGTTACTACCCAGGCTGAGGTGGGAAGAAGGAAATGGAAATTATTGCCTCAGCTCCCATTGCTGTATTACCCCAAGAAACCTGGTTCCCAAAAATCTTTTTTTGAGGTGCTGAGGGAGGGAAGGCCATCTTCCTGCTACTTTCTGCTGAGTAGGGATGCTGGCCCTACCCTTGCTGGGATGGTAGAACTATTGTCCTTTGTGATCTAAGAGTTCAAAGGGCCCGCCATTCTTCCTCTGAGAGTTTTTTTTTTTAATGAGCCATTAACATGAAAGTAGACCTCATCAGGATGGGACAGGGTAGGGCAGGGTGGTGGTACACACCTATAATTCCAGCACTCTGGAGGCTGAAGCAGGAGGATCACTATGAGTTCAAGACCAGCCTAGGCTACAAAGATTGAGAGCCAGCCAGCACCTATGCTGTGTATTTATTATTTTAGAGTGGTTAACATAAAAACTAGATTCTTCATTAAGAGACAAACATAATCCCTCTGTTTTGGTAATTAGATCTAGTCTTCTATCATGTCATATGGTGACCATTCTAGCAAATCTATTTGGTCTTTAAGAATGGCAATACTGGGGCTGGGGAGATGGCTCAGTGGAATGAGCACTTCCCTGGCAAGCACAAGGGCCTGAGTTCAATCCCCGGTAACACCAAAAAAAAAAAAAAAAAAAAAATGGCAATACTATGAGCAAGTTTACATACATAGCCCAGTGATGCAACCTTTAAGAATTTTAATAATATAGCCAGCTGTGACATGCATGCCATAGGTTTGCCATTACTGGCTTTGTCTGTCTGTCTAGTTTTTAAATCATTGTAGATAGGAAAAAGGTGTGATTAGATCTAAGGTTTTGTTTTGTATAAAGAATCACTCTTCATTATTTCCATTAGAGGCAAGTTTTGAGTCATCTACCATGATCCCACCAAAAAATAAAAGAGGTCGTGTTACAACTTGGGGCAAGGAATTCAAAGTGTAGCAAGTAAGAGAATAGTTTTGCTTATCTGGTTCAGCAGGTCACTTGGTGTTTTCTGAAAAGACGTAGGAGGCTGAGGCAGGAGAATCACTGCAAGATTGAGGCCATCCTGAACTATGTAATTAGACCCTCTCTCAAACTGCCCCCACTACTACCACCAGTAAAAAAAACTTGAGGTTACCCACTGGTTCATATGTGTACTTCTTCATTTTTCTTGTGTCAGGCAACTTGGGTTTTGCCCTGGAAAAGTAAATCCAACTATCTATTTACTTTACTTTAATGGCAGGAGTGATTAGAGGATTGTGTAATTTTAGGGAAGGGTCAACAGGGTGTTCAGGGTCTCACTACTAGATCAGACTCATAGAAATCTGCCTGTTCATAGCCTCCCAAGAGCTGGGATTACAAGCAAGGTACGCGCCACCATGCCCAGTCTCAATTTTGGTCTCAGCGTGCCTTGGGGGCGGGGGCAGCACAGTAGGCAGGCCCAGAGATCGAACCCCGGCCCCTGTGCCTGCTTGCAGGCACTTTAATCCGATGAGCTGTTTAGCCAGCTCTAGAGGATTGTGTAAGAGCCTTTCCACTTAAGGACAAGTATTGGGAGTTAGGATCCACAGGAATAGAAGAAAAGGCATCTTTGAGATGAAGGGCAGAGAACTACTCATTGTCTCCTGGACTCTGCTGGAAGGGTGTGTAGAACTGATACCAATGTGTGAATAGGTACCACTGCCTCATTGGTGTCTCTGAGATCTCATACTGTGCAATATTCTCCCCATGGCTTGACCATTGGTAAAGTAGGTTTATTACCCAGGGACTGATGTGGCACCAGTAACTCTGTAGCCCAAAACTTACAGAAATAGGCTTTATCTCCCACCTAGCTTTTTCCTTAAGATAATGCTATGTTCTGTGAGGATATAGATTTGGGTCCTTTAGCTGGATGACCTCTAGGTGACCTTGACACCCCTGCCATGTTTAGGGATCCACTCCCAACACAGATATTGGGCCCTATGGAGTCAGGCTGACTGTGTCTCTAGCAACTAGGACACAGGTTACCAGTGGTTTGAATGTTAAGGTGGTCCTGAGTAGAGAGAGTATATCTTTGAGTTACTGGCATGAGGTGCTCTGGTATCACCACAAAGACAAGTTGGAAAAGGAAATCTAAAGAGGATAAAAAAAAGCTGTCCAGTTACCTCCCTCAAAGCATACAACTGTAGAATGGGCTGAAAGCTTACCCAAATAAGAAACTGTAATTGAGGGGCAGGTGAGATGGCTCAGTGGTCTAAAGCACCTATTAGAACAAACTTAGCTAAAGCACAGGGACCCCGGTTCAATCCCCCAGCACCACATGCCAGGCAGCCCTGCCCCCTGGTGGGCTGAGCTGGCCACACACACACACACACACACACACACACACACACACACACACAAATACAATAAATAAAATTTAAAAAAAAAAAAAAACTGTAATTGAAATAAGTCATTCCTGGATCAGAGAAATACATGATTTATTTTCCCACTATTCTGAGTCACCTAAGGTTTCTGTAAGGTGATAGGAATACAGTTAAGTAGGACCATATGGGCTGCCTCAGGCACCATCATTCACTATCCAGACTGCCATGGTGATGAATGACCTCATCCCTCTCTGGGAATAAGGACAACCCGTCTTCCAGTGCCAAGGGTCTTCTCCCATGCTCTGACAGGCTCAGCAAGGGTTTAGGAGTTGTAGAGGCCACTCCTTTGCCCACTGACCTGGTCGCTTGTATCACTCTTCGGGTTACTGTAGTTTCCCCTAGTGTTGGGAACTTGAGTCTCCATTAGAGCAAGCATGGCTTTAGGCTACCACTTTCCTTATTTACATGTTGTCTTCTACTTTATCATAATTATTGAAAAAAAAAAAAAAAGCCACATTGATCTTGACATCCATGCTTGTGGGCCTCTGGAGCTTTCTTGTAGTATCTGGAGCTGAGTGAAAAAATACTGTCCTAAGATAACCTGACCATCTCTAGACTCCAGGTCTGGTTAATGTATTTACAGGATGCTTCAAACCAGAGCTGAAAAGCAGCAGGATTTTCGTGTTTGTTTTGTTGTGTTTTTTGAGGCAAGAGTCTTGCCATGTAGTTCAGGCCAGTCTTTAAACTTACTGTGTAGGGGCCGGGGCAATAGCTCAGTGGAATATGTACTTCCCTGGCAAGCACAAGAGTCTGAGTTCAGTCCCTGGTTCTGCCCCCCCAAAAAAATAAATAAAAATAAAATAATAAAATAAACTTATTGTGTATCCCAGGCTGGCTTCAAATTCTCTGTGATCCTCCTGCCTCAGCCTCCTCAGTGCTGGGATTACAAGTGTGCATCACTATGCCCAACAGGCATTTGGATTTTCACCAGAGCCTGAGTTTATCATAGTTCACAGGTTTGGGCATCCATTCCTTATCACATGCCCACTGAAATAACCTTGATATATAACTTTCGTTTGTCTTCTCCACACCTTGTGTTAAAAATGCCACTCAAGCTCCTCTTGGAATCCAAAAATAATGCAACAATTAACTGATTATCAGAGGTAAAACTGAGAAAATAGCACCATTATTTGTTAGCCTGCCTAACAACTCTTATAATCCTTTCATTTCTCTTGCTGTGTATTAAGAAAGTGTGTCATGCCAGATCAAGTCAAAGGCCATTGTTGTATTTTTCCTTACATGCTGAATGTCCATAACTGAAAAAGGGACTTGTACGTGAAAGAGACCATTGGCATCTGCCACTCTTAAAAAGTAGAGCAGTAGCTGGCTTCTAGGTTGATTTCCCTAAGTCTAGGGCCCTATCGTAGCCAGGCCCAGACCTGGGATGGGCTAGGCTTCATCTCCTGAGGATGCTGACTGAGTAGGATGGTAAGGAGGTAGTATGCAGGGAGAAGAGCTGGCAAAAGGGAATCCTCAGCAGCATCAGCTCCTGAGGTGGGATTCGTTCTAGGGCAAAGATCATGGCTCTCTGATCTTACAATAAAAGAAATAATTAAAATATGACATTATATAGTTTAGACTATCCAGAGGTAGCCACATCTCATTTTTCCCAAGTGGATACAGAGCTCATTTTTTATTATGCAATAATATAAGATCCTTCTGGAGGACCTTGAATTCTAGTAAGTAAGGAAGCATCTAACTAGAGAATCAATAGAAATATATGAGCCATTCTTTTGATGGGTCTGTGGATTGAAGAAGTTTCAGTGTGGGATCCTCACAGGCTTCTCCATGGGTTAATTCCCAGCCCATTAGTGGAATCCTGAGCTGTCAGACGATAGAAACCTTACAAACCTTACAAAGCCTTTCTCTGGGTCCTTTCCCACAAGGGATCCCTACAGGCCCAGCGCCTCCTCAGTCAGTCTCAGACTTTCAGGAAACCTAACAGGCCTACCCCCAAGTTAATCCCCAACCCATTACTGGGAATGTTACAGGGCATCTCCTAGTCGTTCTGAAGTCTTTCAGCCCCAGGATGTGACCTGACAGGGCTAAAGCTGTAGGATACTCAAAGGCCTGTCCATGTGGTTAACCTCCACCCCATTAGTGGGGTACTGCATTGCTACTACTGTTTGATCCTAACATTTCAACCTCAGGACATGACCTAGTAAGGCTGAAGCTGTGGATCTTCACAGGCCTGTCCTTGGGTTAATCTCCACTGTTATATAATCCCCACCCCTTCAGTGGAGATATTAAAGGGTTGCCCCTCTTTGCCTAGGTCGGTTCCTTCATGAGAACCTTACAGGGAAGGCTTCCTCTCATTCTCTGTCCAGCTCTTGTGTTAGATGTTCCTCAGAAGAGCTGAACACCTTGGAGGCTCAACATCTCCAGGCTTAAGCATATACTGGTGCCATTTCCTTTGAACCAATTGGATAGCCCCCTGTCAACACATTACATTTTCTGGTCAAAGAGTGCTGAACTGGGATGCTATATTGGCTGGGTATTTTTTCAGATAACATCCTGTCTAGGGAGGCATAGCAAACATTACTCGGTAGAACTCCAAAACCTGAAGTTTTCCGTAGATCTGGCTCTCAGCCAGTGGCTAACAGAAAGGCACTTCCATAGATGATATCCCACTACCTTGCAGTATAAGAATAGAGACTAAATAAACTAAAAAAAAATCATCTCACTAGATCAAGCCTCAAATTCATATGTGTCTGTTGGCAAATCCTCAATTAAGCAGGGTGAAAAATCCAGTCAGCAAACATAGGTTACACATCTTTTTACACAAGGACATAAATTTGAGACCACAGTTACAACAACAAAACTAAGTGGAATAGGGGAAAATGACTAGCATTAGAAAGTAGTTTCAAAGTGCAATTATTTTATTTTTGTATTGGGGATCAAACCCCGGACCTTGTACTTGCCAGGCAGGCTCTTACACTGCTAAGCTATCTCCCTGGTGAAAATGCAGAAATTTAGAACACACAAATTCCTGTCTTTTTCCCATATGAGTAAGCATTGTTACTTCCTTTTTTTTTCTTTTTCTTTTTCTTTTTTTTTGCGGAATCAGGAATTGAACTCAGGCCCTTGTGCTTGCCAGGCAAGCACTTATTCTACTGAGCTATCTCGCCAGCCCCCAGCATTGTTACTTTCCAACTCCTGTTTCTCTGTATTTTTTTTTTAATTTTTTTTTAACATTTATTTATTGCGTGTCGGGGGGGCGGCCACCTCAGCCCACCAAGGGGCGCGGCTGGCTGGCATGTGGTGCTGGGGGATTGAACCGCAGTCCCTGTGCTTTGCCAAGCTTGTTCCAAGTAGGTGCTTTAGACCACTGAGCCATCTCTCCAGCCCTGTTTCTCTGTATTAACAAAAAGCCAAATAATTTATATTATACAGAAGAAAGTCTGGGAACAGGGAAAATAAAGAGAACTAGAAATTGGGGAAGGGGTATAGTATTTCATAAGACACACTCCTTCAGACTGAGCCTAGACTCATTGGGCCCCCCAAACATCACAGGAGCCAGTTATCTCAGCAGCCACCTGAATCTACATTGTCCAGATACCATCCCAGAGAAAGTATGATTAGGTGCACGAGGGCCCATGCCTTCCAGTCCTAAGTGAAATAGAAGGAAGGGGCCTAGAAGGCTCTATTCAGGCCAAAGCATCTAGATCCAGGCTCCCTGGGCAGCTCCAGAGACCAAGGGGATGAGTGAGCCAGCCACCTTGCTTCTGCTCGCCTTGGCCACATTTCTATGGGGATATGAAAAACCACAGCCATTTACAGGTCATGTACCACCCTCCACCCCCACCCTGACCATGCTACAAGGACCAAGAGCAAAAGAGGAGGCACACAAACATAGACCCACCAAATTGTGTGGAAGCCCTCATAGTTCCTGCAAAAGCCAAAGTCTTTAACTCTGCTGTGCTGCTTTATCTGGTATCTCCTGGCTGGCTTGCCAAGTGTTACCATGGTTTTTTTTTGTTTTTTTGTTTTGTTTTTTTTTTTAACATTTATTTATTTATTTATTTATTTATTTATTTATTTATTTATTTATTGTGTGTGTGTGTGTGTGGCCAGCTCAGCCCACCAGGGGGCGCGGCTGGCTGGCATGTGGTGCTGGGGGATCGAACCGCGGTCCCTATGCTTTTCCAAGCTTGTTCCAAATAGGTGCTTTAGACCACTGAGCCATCTCTCCAGCCCCAAAGTGTTGCCATGTTGTAGGCCCAACTGATTCCAGGCTCTTGCATATAGCAAGCAAAAAATTACAGGATATACACTCAATGGTGGAAAAAATTGAGCTAGTTTATTGAAGGTCACAAACAAGTAAGTGGTGTCAGGACAACAGAACAGGAAACTTGTAGCCTTCCTGCCTTAGCCCTCCTAGTGCTGGAATTACAGGTATATGCCACCATGCCCAGCTAGGTATTCCTTTGTTCTGTTTTGTTTCGTAGTACTGGGGATTTACCTCAGCCTTCACACTGAATTGCATCCCTAGCCTTTTTCAAAAATTTTACAGTTTGTTCCTAAAGTTGTTCATCCTGAGTTTCATCTTATGATCTCCTCTCAGCCCCACAAAGTGCTAGGATTATGGGCATGCATTACTGTGCTTGCCTTGTAACATTTTTAGATTCTGTTTGCTTTTACTGGAACTTGTATTTGTATTGGTGTTCCCTGGGCCAGCATTTAGTGTTATGCTCTAAAAGCACTAATTAGCATTACGAGCTTGCTGCTGTAGCTCTACATTCAGTTGTGTTAGTAGCTAGATATTAGAGACTTTTTGTCATCCAAAAGATCAGTCCCTCTTTAGGATGAGAAAAATAAAGTTAGAGGAGAAATGACTTTCCATGAACAAATAACCAGGCTTTCCCTCTTGCCTTTTAATTTCTGCTGAGGATTAGATCCTGAACCTTGGCATCTTTCCTGAACTTAATTCATGTTTCTTTCTTAGTTGTCTCTGTATTGCATTTTGAGTCACTGCATTCTCTTTCATAATCTGTTTAGGTTCAGAAGATGGCAAGATCCATGTTTGGAATGGTGAGAGTGGTATAAAAGTAGCAGTATTGGATGGTAAACACACAGGCCCCATTACCTGTTTGCAGTTCAACCCTAAGTTCATGACGTTTGCCAGCGCATGTTCCAACATGGTATGTTAATGATGAGAGGTATCTTCCACATAGGAGTTCTCCATTTGGGGGTGGGGATCAGGGACCACAACAACAAGCTGTTCTGCATAGGCATAAATACCAAATTCATGTTTCTCAACTGTGGTTTTCATTTCACCTTCCATCATGTGATTTCTGGTTGGACTGATCTTTTCTTTTCTTTTTTTTTTTTTTCTTTCTTTTTTTGGGGGGGAGTGGATCTGGGATTGAACCCAGATCCTTGCGTTTGCCAGTCAAGCGCTTATCCTACTGAACCATCTCCCTAGCCCTAATCTCTTATTTTCATTATTCCTCTTAAGATCTAGGATCATTACTGAGCTCCCAAAAATTACAGGCCAATTTTTCCTCTGGCTTTAGGCCATACTACCTATATATTACTTGACAGTTATTTTGCTCCTTAAGAACCCATCTTTTTTTTTTTTTCTTTTTTTATGAATTTAGGACAGTGTACAGGGTCTCACTATGTAGATCGGACTCATAGTGATTCTCCTGTTTTCAGCCTCTCAAGTGTTGGGATTACAGGTGCGCGCCACCATGCCCAGTCTCAATTGCTGTCTCAATGCACACCAGGGGCGGGGCCAGCATGGCACACCAGGGATCAAACCCCAGCCACTGCACTCTGCCTAAGCAGGTGCTTTAATCCACTGAACTATCAGGCCGGCCCAAGAACCCGTCTTTTGTGACTCCATCTTTTCAGTTTTCCATTCCTCTTGGTTTATGTTGAATTCCTCAGAATCTTACAGTTGATAATGACTGACTACTTAGAATTAGTTCCATGCCCTTGTGTCTTCCTATATAATACTAGCAGAACAAAACATCAGTGTCTCACCTCTGATTTCCTCTTGAGGTCTTCTAAGTTTATGTGGGTTTTTGGGGCTGAGCATTTTATTACTAGCCTTACACAGAACACATTGCTCTCGCTACCTCATACCCCACCCCGTGCTGTGGTTGAAACCAGGCCCTTTACCACTGAGCTACACTTCCAGCCCTCTCCCTTTTACAGATGTTGTTGTTGTTATTGTTGACTTGTATGTTTGTAGTGCTGGATATCATACCCAGAGGCTTCCTGCCTGATAGACAAGGGCTGTGGCACTGAACTATGTCCCCAGACCTTTAAAAAAAAAAAAAAAAGTAACGTCAGAAAAAATTACAGTAAAGTTATCCAGTCTCTTGCGTTTTTTTGTTTTGTTTCCATCAGGCAGGAGAGAGCCTGTCTGAGGTTACCCGGTAGATGAGCAGTGATGCTGGCTTACCTAGACTCAACAGGACTTTTTCTTTACAACACTAAACCACTGTGGTACATGGTAGATAGTGAATGCTAAAGGGCAACAAAACCAGCGTACTTTGGGGGTGGTGTGCCAGGGTTGCTCAAAGGGAGGTCATACCTGTCCATAACTCCTCCAAAGCTGGGTTGGGCACCTCATTGCTGTGGGTTGGGGTGTGAAGAACTTTCCACAGTGAGAAGATGCTTAGCTTTCTAAGTCAGTTTATATTTCCTTTCCAGGCTTTCTGGTTGCCCACCATTGATGACTGACTCTGATGCTGTTTGGCTAATTCTGAATTGTGAGGGTGGCCTGCAGGATAAACTGAGAGAGGACTGAGACAATAGTGAGATTGGATCATTTGACTGAGCTGGAGAACATCCTTTAACATGGCCTTCCCCTGGATGTGCTGTACATCTGCTCAAAGGAAAAAAAATTACTTTGCTGAGCTTCTTCAAAAGGACTCATGGTGCCACAGATTCATTTGGGACTTGGCCTTTGCAGCTGTCACCGCACCAAGCTCCTCCAAAGAAGTGACCAGACTTGTAATTAGGTTATAGTGGAGAGCTCATCACACTTTCAAGTTTGAATGTATTTGCTGCTGAGGAGCCAGTGAAATTGTCAGTTCTGCACATCCATTCTCCCACCCCTATAAATGCATGGGAAACCGAAGTTCTGGTTTTGAGATGCTAGGGAAATTCATTGCCTCTTGCCCTTCCCCTGCATGTGTTGTTACTGGGTCTCCCTGTGTACTTATGGCATTATTTCCATGGTCATCATGTTCTTAGGTGCCAAACATTGACAGAAGTCTTCATATGCCTTGGGGTCAGATACTGTAGGACCTTGCTTGTGAGGAAGCCATGCATTTAGTCTTGTGAGAATGGGTGGTCTGGGCCAGCCTCAGGCTCTGGTGTTGGGTAGGAAAAAGCCCAAGAGCCTAAAAGGGAAGGGAAGCTGATAATAGGCAAGTTCCTAGGGTTGGAAGGTTTACCAGCAGTCTGGTGTAGCCCCCCATCAAGACAAACCCACAGTCATCCTGGGTGCCTACCAAGCTTGGTTTGTACAAAAGCAAGGTAGGAGTCTATTTTTGTACTTGAGATGTATCACGCTTTTCTTTGGGCCAGTGTTGTGGACTGAGTGAGTTTACACTGATGCCTTCCTTCCCTGCCCATCACAAATTGTGTACATAGCCTCAAATGACACTCCTTCCTCATGCCCCCTCCCCAGCTCCCCCTCAAGAGCTGGTTCTGGGCCTGTGTTATATTTAGGCTTTTTATATATGATCTTTGATTTGTTTGTATTCTGGCACAGCGTGTGCATCTCCCTTTAAATATATTTGTGTATGTATATATGCATATACCTGCATATGCATATCTGTCTGTAGTTTCTCAAGTTCAGCCTATGGAGGAGTTCTGCAACCCAGGAAAAAGACTTCATCCTTGCTAATAGTGTTTGCCACAAGTGTTAGTCTTCTCTATTATTACCTTTTTCCCTTTGGAAGACTAAATAAATGCTTCTAGTGTTTGTTGTTTCCCATGGCAGCTAAGTGAGGGTCTTGGGACGACTCTCCGGTGTTCTTTAAGCCGCACTTTGGAGCCCTCTCCACAGTATTACTCTGTTTTTTGCCTGGTGATGCTCTGCGCTTACATATGTTGTGACAGTCATTTCTGCATGGCTTCTGTGCCTGGCTTGCAGCATTTGGGAACAGGATGCTGGAACCAAAGTATTTTTAATTTGAGGCTACTTTGCCAGTTATAGGTCATTCTCACTTAGCTTGTGTATCTCCTTTCTTGCTTTTTGTTGCCTCCTATTGAAACAAGGGGCTCTAGCTAGGCCCAGGTTGAGATGAACTACAGACAGGCCATGGCCTTTTCTTCCCTTTCATGGTCATCTTGGAGCAGAGCAAGTGGCATCTTACTAAGCTCCCAACCACATGTTTATGTAGGCAACACTCCCTGCAGATCCAGAAATCGGCCCAACAAAGTTACAACTTTCCCAAGGGTTTACAGCTGCTGGAACTAAATCAAACCATCACTGCTTCTGTTCAGCAGCTGGCAGAAGCTATGAATGATTAGCCCATTTTGCTTAAAGCAATTACTTTCTGACTTGTTAAAAGGTAAGATTATATATTTTTCCCAAAAGTAGATAAAATGTGCAACTACCACCAGGCCACTACCCTGTGTAGTTCTGCCTTCCTGAAGTATGGGGACTTTAGGAACCAAATGATCTGAGCTGTTAACTGCCTACCTTTTTAAGATAGAAAATACGTGTTAGGACTAACTTGGAGAGAGCGCTTGAAGTCACGGGATAACAAGAAAGGCCATGTAACTTTCATGTCTGTAACAATGGAATGACTTGTCCAGCAAAAGGAAGAATTTGTATTTGAGTTCCTGTGTCCAAAGCTAAAGCACCATGTCCTTTGAAAATATGACACCTCACAGCCTCTACTGCTGTGGAGGCACTACAGTTGGCTCCAGAGTTGCTGAGAAAAGAAAATGTGCAGCTGGACGTGACCTGAGGCACTGGGGTGATGAAGATAAGAGAAAAAGAAGGATTCAGGCTGAGAGCTGTGCTGTGGGGATGTGTCGGTGGCAGCCAGAGGTGCTTAAGCTCCTCACTGGGGCAGAGCTGCTCATCACCTTCTGAAAACTCAAGGCCAAAGCCACTGCTGTGTACGTGACAGTGATATTGTACTGCTGATCCACCAGCCAGTAGGGTGTCTTAAATATTCCCTGTTGCAATCATAATTATTGCTTATTTTTAAAAATTTAGGAATTTATACAATCAGTTTGCTACCCAAATGCTACATAGCACTGTTAATCTTGATGTTCAGAGTTCCTCTAGACATTTCTGTGCATAGATTTTTGGTGTGTTTACATAGTTGTTCTACTGTACATACGATTTTATGTCCCTTTTGTACTTAACATATAAACATTTTTTTCCATGTTACCAGTCTTAAAGTTTTCTGGCTTCAGCCTCTTCTATTGAGTTTCTATAGGCTTGTTTGCCTGGTTCCTGGAAGGGCAGTATGGGTTGTCTACTCTTCTGGCTCACAGGGGCCTCTGTAATGATGTGTGAATGGATTGTCAGGCCCCAGACCTATCCCTCAACCTCCTGGGGCCAAAAACTAATGAATGGCAAAGGCAAGCTTGAGTCAGTCTTGATCTTCAAAGACTATTTAGCACAAATTCAGTCTATTTCCCCTCCTGTTTACCTCAACCCTTGATCAGTTTGGCAGCTTCTTGCTGGAATGAGTTATTCTTTAGGTCCTGGCTTCTAGACAGCAAGAACTGGTGGAGCCTCAGGTTCCTACACCAGCTCTAGCATAAGGCACAGCCAGTTGTTTGTAACTCATTACTTGGCCGGCAAGTGAGCTGGCAATTCCTGGAGTAAATGTAGCTTAGCATCCTTAGAGCTGCAGGACCACCTCCTGCCTGGCTCTGAACCAAAGGAAAACCTTGAGCCTAGCCGCATAGTCACATATGCCTGTAATCCCAGCACTTGGGAAGCTGAGGCAGGACAAATTCAAAGAACACGTGGTCTATATTGTAAGACCCATTTTAAAGGAAAAAGTCTTGGGCTTGCTACATTAGCCAGTTTTACCACCTTGGAGGTTGTACAGGGACTCTGACATGGTAGAGGGGACATCCTGGCTTGGATGTGGTTGGTCATCCATAGGCTCTTCTGCCTTGCAACGAGATGGAAAAGCCTCAGAAAAGGCTGCTGCATCCTCTTAATTTTTGTACACAGAAGACATGAGCAAGCAGATCAATACAGCTACCCTTGTAGCAGCCACTGTTTGGCCTGCCTGCAGGTAGGAGACCTCAAGCACCTACTCCCTGGGTTTTAGCCTTGTGCGGGGAGCAAGACCAGAAACAGGCAGAAGGCTGGGTTAGAAGCAAGCCAGCAGGCTGTGGGGGCGAGCTGGCTCAGCAGTTGATGTGGGTAAAAGGGACAGGATGTTATCCACACTGCTCAGAGAGGAAGGGGAGGGCTGTACTGAGGAATGGGACAATCGTACTCCTCTGGGTTTGTAGGCTTGCACACCAGCATTTTCCTCACAGTAGGCCGGAGTCCAGGAGAGGCTGCCAGAGCTTCACAGACCAGCCAATTTGCCAGGACCCAGCTGGGGACAGACTGCTTGGCCTGCAAGTCCTGGGCTTGAATATAGCTCTGTAAAAAGGAATATCTGACCCTTGCAGTTTTTCCTACCTGCCGTGGACAGTAAAATCTAAAATGAATTAATTGGTAGCAAAGGAGGTCTGAGAGTCTTTCAGGTAAGTCATGTACAGGTTTTACATCAGCTATCTTGGATCTTTCTGCAGTCTCCAGTTGAGTTGCCTGTTAAAAGTCACTTCTGGGGGCCCATGAGATAGCTCAGTGGTCTAAAGCACCTGCTTAGGCAAGCTTGGGCAGGCGCAGGGGACCGAGGTTCAATCCCTGGCATGTGGTGCCGTGCCAGCCCTGCCCTAAGGATGGGGCTGCAGTGCCCCACCACCACCACCAAAAAGTCACTAGTAAAACCAGGAGTCAATCAGGAGTCAGTCAAGCTTGGACCTGAAGATGGCTTGTATTGTAATACTTCCTGAGCATCTGAGCTTTCTAACTCTTAGGTCCTAACTTGCCCTCCAGCCAAGTCTAGTAGCTTTACACAAGTTGGTATTTATTTATTTTGGCAGAACTGGGGATTGAACTCAGGCCCTTGTGCTTGCCAGGCAAGTGCTTATTCTGACCCCACAAGTTGGTATTTAAAAGCAAGTGAAAAAAAACATTCTGGTACATGAAGTGCAGAGTTCATAAGCATAGGTAGTAGTGAAGGCCTCTTCGGTTCCCTGGCAATGAGGGGGCACTCAAGCTGAGAACTAGAGAGGATGTAATGCTGGGAAAACCTATAGTCTTGATTATATGCAAGCTTGAAAGATGGAGCTAAAACTAATCCACTGGAAGGTAACAAATAGCATAAGGTGGGTGGGAGAGATAGCCCAGTAGTGTAAGTGTCTGCCTGGCAAGCACAAGGGCCTGAGTTTGATCCCCGGTAGCCCCCGCCCCCCAAAAAAAATCAAATCAGCATAAGGTGTCTACAATCTATGTCATACAAGCAATTCACAATTCACAAGGGCTGTTCTGCATATAAACATTTAATAACAGGAAAGTAATAGCAAGAAAGCAAAGGCATTGACACATGAGACTAGGGCAGGGCTGAAACGATCAACTAGGGTGCCAGGTAGTAAAGAGTCCTGCTCGCCTAGCCAATTCTGGGACATCTTGCCTGTTCCTGATGTGCCCATCTTTAACTCCAGAGCCTGTGCCCTCCAGTGGTAAAGGACAGCAGGGCAAGGCCTGAGCTGATCCCTTCAGGAACTATCTTCAAATAGTTGTTTCACAGGGAATCCTGCATGGACTGGAAGTGTTGAATGGATGCCCTGACATTCATAGATTGGAAATTTGGATCCAGATATGCAGCCTGTTCCTTGTGGTATCTTTGGCTGATACCTTTAACCCAGGTGTCCCTATCTGAGAATACTTGAGGTTACTGAGGATCCTGTCTGGGGAACCTTACAAGTTTTCTAAGTTGTAAAGTGCCTCTGCCAGAGCATTGTTACAGTAAAAGCCAGGGCCTGGTTGGCTAGGCTCTCTACACCCTTTCAGCTGGGGCTGCCTGATACAAATATTCCCCTTGAAATGAATAAGGGGTGGAAAGCAAGAAGAGCACTGAGCCGTGGCTAGGGATGGGATAGCAGGGCCTGCTCTTAGCCACAGATGATAGATTCCCAAAATGCACCAGCCTGGAGTGGTTCTGAGTTATAATGTGTGAATCCTCACGTGCCACTGCCTCCTTCGCCTTGGCTGTGCAGGGGAATCACAAACACCGAGACATCATCGTAGGACACCTGCCCTTCCCCTGTGGGATCATCCTCCTTCCCCTGAGTACTTCGTATCAGCATTTGGGCCAACTCCGAGAACCTGTGAAGATTATTCTATAGATGTAGTTTGGGGCTAAGCAAAACAACAAGGTCAGCCCTCCAACAGCATTCAGTGCATAGACCTAGACAAGGAGACCCAAAAAGTGCCCAACTATAAGCCAAGCAAACAAGTCTGGTAGGGCCACAACTGGAACACAGGAATCCAAACCCAAAGCTCTTTGGGAAGGACCCACATTATACTCTCTCCCCGCCCCCATAAGACAGCTTTGCTCCTGGCAACCTGCCCTGAAGTGGACTCAGAAACGGTACTGTCTTCTCAGTTATAACTAGTTGGTGTTGCTGCTGGCACCAGCTCAGGCCTAGGCAAGTACCTGTGTGGATCATCTCGGTTCCCAGGAAGAAAACTTCTCACCAGCAGTGCCACCTGCTCATTGGATAGGACATCCCAGAGCCCATCCGTTGCCATGACAACCACATCATCTTCCCTCAGCTCTAGCTGGTCCATATCCAGCACAGTCACCTGCCGGTTAAACCCAAGGATCCTTCAGCATTACCTGCCTGGCTCCCACCAGGCTCACTCCCTTTCTGGGCAGATGGAAGCTGGGGTAGACTACCCTGTATCCTCACCTGTGGGACAGCGAGCAAGAAGGGTTTGAGTTGGATGTTGGTGTCCAGGACTCTGAGCTGATGGTCTCCTAAGCCCCGGGAGACAGCCAGTGTTCCCAGTAACCGAGCCTAAATCCAAGAAAAGTTAGGTAAGTGATGGTGAACAGTTCCGGTAAATGCCCAAGTGCTAGGACCTGGCACTACTAGTTACGTAAGAATTCAGGGACCATGACAGAAGACCTTAAGGAAGAAACATGAGGGAGCAGACCCAAGAAATTAGGTACAGCCACCAGTATGAGACCAGGGAGTTCCCACCTCAAGGGAGCTACTAAAGAAGGGTTCTTGGAGGGGAGCCAGACACTGACCTGCCTACCCTGTCCGTGAATCAGTGGGTATTTGAGATCCGATTTCTCTACACGTTTGTAGCTCCTACCAGGAATAGACCAAGCATCACCCAAGGACTATATACCACCTCATCTCTCAGCCAGTGGCCCAGCTGTCACACCCAAAGTGTCCACCGTGCCCAGATCAAAGAGAACTACTCCAAGCTTTTCCCTTCCCACGACGTACCCTGACCCTACCCTGCTTACCAACCATTCATGTGGTGATCCCTGAACAAAACCTTCTGACCCAAGTCATCCCCCTTCAATCGGCGAGGGAACTCCAGTCGGGTGAACTCACCAGCCAGAAGCTCTGGGTAGACAAAGGCCTAGGGTGGAGAGGTTGTGCTCAGGTCAGCAGGTTCCCTTCTATGGCCATTCTATGGCCCTGGACCCAAGAGTTGGGGGGTGCCACAGCCTCCCCTTGCCAAGGGTACCACCTACCAGCTGCTGGATCCGTTGCCTTTCAGTCTCTGGGGTGAACTCAGAGCTCAGTGGCCTCATCTCATCTCTTCGTACCAAAAGAGCCCTGGTTGGGGTTGAGGAGTAGAGGAAGACGTAGATGACCTCCTCCCTCCCCTGTGGCCATCCTCTAGCCCTTCCAACTACTGGAGCCAGCTCTGGCCATGCTGATCCCTCACTCAAAGCCCTCCTTGATTCCTTAGGACCTGCAGGGTGAAGGTTCAGGCCTTTGGTCTGGCACTTAAGGTCCCTGCCCTCCCTAACATCTACACTTCTATTCTCTCATTCAATATATGCCAATTTCAAAGGCCAGCCAGATAGCTTAGTGGACTAAAAAGTGCCTGCTTAGGTAGAGTGCAGTGGCCAGGGTTCGATCCCCAGCATGCACCACCCCCAGGGCTCACTGAGATGGTGATAGATACTGGGCATGGTGAGGCGTGCCTGTAATCCTAGCACTTGGGAGGCTGAAAACAGGAGGATCACTATGAGTCCGATTTATGTAATGAGACCCTGTAGACCCTGCAGACCCTGTATCAAATACATAAAAAATAAGTTTATTTGTTAAAATATATATATA